CGTTACCGCCGAGTATTTTCAACCCCGAAGATCTCGATGGCCCCGGGGCGAATCCATTAAAGGTAAAAGCTTCTCGTTTACATCTGCCGTTCCTCGCCGTTTCAGACGCTTTCTCTTTTCTTCTTTCCCGCTCTCTTTCCACGCCTCGTCTTTCCCATCCCATGGCCCCTTCTTCTTTCCTCCTTTCGCTCTCTTTTTCCACGCGCCACCTTACGATTCCTTCGAAACGTCAGCTGGTTAGCGCGGCGTTCGTTCCACGCTATTATCCGGTCAACCGGTGTCTCTTCTCTCGCTCTTATCGTACCTCGTAACCGCGCTCGTCGGAGATCGTACGCTTTTCGATATAGCACGCCGGCCTCTCCTTCGCTAAGTGGCCGCCATTTCTTCGAACGCGAAGCGGACTCATCCACGCGTAAACAAACGTCACGTCGAATTTTCTCGCAACGTAAATTTTCGGTTGGATCGATATCGATAGTATTTACACAGCTCACCATCGTGACGAAAATGTTTGACATTGAGAAACAAAAGTCCAAGGATACTTTTTTTTCAGCGATAACATCGTTGTATATACATACGTAGTTTGAGTTAGCGCGTTATTCATATCTCCGCTCCATTGACCAACAAATAGCGGTCAATCAAACTTGCTAAACTCAAAGCATCCCTATCCAGAGAAACGTGCATAAATATTCCGAATTTCGAATAACTTGCCTTGTCTCGATTTAACGTAACTTCTCGATTTCTCGAGTTACCCCGGTAAACCCCGGGGAAAATTACGCGATATCGTAACAACGTTCCACGAAACGATGCAATATTCGTAATCCCGTTCTATTCCCCCTTTCTTCTCCGAATCGTTTTCGATCACTCGCATCGTCGCATCCACTCTAGAAACGATTATAATTTACGATTTACTTCGAAACTTTCCACGTCGCTTTCGACGAGATTATTTTCATTCCAGACACGGTGAACCCGAATATTCGATTGTTAACGTAAGCTTTAATCCTTTTTTACCGCTGGAATACAGATCCCCCCTTCCCCTTTTTAAAAAGAAAGAAGAAAAGAAAAACGCAATAATCTCGGTGAATTTTTGCTCGTGGTGGCGCGCATTACGCTCCTTTTCCTCGAAACCGCGTCGCCACGTTGGAGAGGCGGAAAACCGATGAATATTCGTTGAATAACGCACGGTGGGTGGAAATTCATTCAGGAAATCGGGGGGATATCTCGTATCTCGTAACAATGGGCCGCGAGGCGAGAAATCGGTGATCGTGGTGAAAAAAAGAGGAAAGGAGAGAGAAAAAAGAAAGAAAGAAAGAAAGAAAGAAAGGAAAGAGGGAAAAGAGCGGCGGAAAGAATGGCGGACAATGCGGAAATGCAAGATGGGGAGACGGGGGCTTAAGTGCAGCTGCAGTTTAGCTCCATACCGCTCTCGTAATCGCTTATACGTGGACGGATACGGGGAGAGAGACCCGACACGTCTTTACACATGCTCTCTCGCCGGTGACCTTTTCGCGGTGCCACGAAGAGAACCGATGACGCACGACGTCCAGAGCTGGTTATAACGTCGACGCGTGTTCGTATTTCTAGTTTACGCTGCATGCATTCAACGTTTGCAGCAACTATCCGCCAAGTATCCATCTTCTACCGAATAAATGATTAATGTAATTAATGCGATGTCACGAGAGAGTGAGTAATATTTTTCTCGATAACGATAAGATAATCGTCATTATCACGGTGTGTACGGTGAATACGAAATAATAATAATATCGGCGAAACGTTTAAATGTAATTGGAAAGTGGATTCGTCTCGGTGGAATTTCTTTCGACGATAATTTTCTTTCGTTTTCTAAATTTCTTCGAAGATCGGTGACGAGCGTGATTGACGAGATCGAGAGATAACACCCGTAACCGTTATCTTCGAGGTAATTAACGAGCAGCAAGGGTTAAATGCATGGAAGATCAAAGACGAGTGGTAATAAATTAATTGCCACGTATGCACGATCCTTTGCGCCTAATATAATTCGACCGTAACCCAGAACGATTTGCCATTCGTATCGTAGTAAGTAAACAATTTCAAGATTAGTCATAACGATTTAATCGGGCTATCCCATGACGAACCACGAGATTCTTTATCACACATATATATATATATCTTTTCCTTCCTTTACAATTTCCTTAAAATCACTCTAAAAAATTCAACATTATCCAACATTATCGATCGCTCGCTCCGAACTTTGTCCTCCGTCCAACAACAATAAACAAGCATATCACATATTTTATCAGAAATCACGATGAGATTCCTCCTCATCATTCGTACATATATATATATACATCTTCCTCGAAATAATTTTTTCCTTTCCTGTTTTACGAGAAACAACTCGAATTTCCTCGCTTTAAACATCCATCAAATCAAAGATCGTATTATCATGGATTTCGTTTCGAAATTCTTCTCGTGCTTTGACGATGCACGCGTATCGTGTGCAATCCTACGATAAATCCACACACAGACTATCGCTCGTGCCTTCTGCTCGCATCTCGACACTCGAAACGAAATCGCTCGGTTATTCAAAATGATCGTTATGGACTCGACGGTAAAATACACACACACATTCTCTCTCTCTCTCTCTCTCTCTCTCTCTCTCTCTCTCTCTCTCTCTC